CCCCCCCCCCCACAAGGCTCAAAGGTCCACTTTTTATGTAAAGGTCCACTTTTTGGTCCACTTTTTTATGTAAAGGTCCAAGATTTTTCTTGAAAAGATGGACTGGAATCGTAGAAAAACTGCTCCCTTTCTCATTGAATAAAAATTTATCTCGCAGTTCTCCGATCTTTCCTGGCCTTTTTCACGCGGACCCCAGTGATGTAAATTTGCCTAGATCGTATATGTGCGCATCAGAGGATCGACTAATTGCTTGGTATCTTCTTGCAGATTTCTGAAAGGAGTGAATCCTCTTCATCGAGGCAGTACTTTCGACAGAACACGCGTACGGATGCCGCAATGGTGTTGGAAGAATTTAAGCGCTACTTTCAATGCAGATGTGCTGTCCCTGTTACATAACAGTTTCTGGCCATGGGTTTGCCGATACTGGGCCCGTTTCCAGGAGCTTCCATCAATCTTCGCCAATGCAGTAGCGTACAGCATAGAATCTATAACAACAAGTAAGTACATTGAGTCCAATGAGGCTCGTGACCGGCAGCGAGGGTTTGTCCAATATGTTGCGCGCACTAAAAGTGCTACCGAACGTGACAAAAAAGTACAGATATATATAACTTATAAGGTTCGCCAGATGAACCTCACCATCACTGTCCGGCAAAGTGAGGCAAATGATTTTGGTATTGTGTATTTTTTTAAATCTGGCAAAAAACAACTTTGGCATATTTTGCCCTGTACTTGAACCTGAAAGTTCGGAGGGTGAAAACATGGGTTGTGTGCAACAGGTGCTTTGCGCGACTTGAACCCTGCAGGTTCAAGGTAAGGGGCCTTATCTTTATCTAGGAGCCAGGAGAAACCAGGTCTGGGCTACACCGTGACTCGTCTGGGCGTGCGTTGGGCTCAAAGGTGCCTTTCTTTTCAGTTATCCCTTTCCAGATTAAAAAGGTCATTCAGTAAGGTTTTCAGTAAGTTCAACTGACGTACAAACGGCGTTCAAAAGATCGCAAGGGGGATAACTCAAAATTTCGGGGGATGACTGTAAAGTTTGGCACCTCACCCATGTTCGGGGCTCACCTGGCTGCTGACAAGGAGGGCACCATCCGTGTCGGGGACGCCGTGTTCGCACAGGTGGACTGAGAGACGTCCGCGCATCTCAGCTTCCTCTGGTCTCTGTCATAATTTTAAATAGTTTCATTCAAACCCACATTGGATGTTCTAACACAAAAGAGGGGTTCGAAAGGGATGAAGAGAGGTGGAAATTTATTCAATCGTACTGACAAAAGTGGTGTAGTATAATGTTGGAGATGATGTTGAATATCTTGACTCCTGGGTGTTACTTATGAATACTTAATCAAGATTATGTAATACAGAATAAATCAAGCTACTGGATAAATCCTCTGAAGAGTTGCTTGATTTTTTTTGCATTATGTAATATTCTACCTGGATGTATAATCTTCATTGATGTGTGCCCGTTTTTGTGGTTATTCTGGCTATACTGAAAAACCTCATCAATAATTGTCATAGAGTGGTCGCTGAATTGCAAGATGCAAATGACAGATCAATTCAACCTTGCATTCAGTTCTCCGATCGCAAATCTTGGACGATGCAGTGAACCCTTGAACGGGGATGTCAACACGGGAGACAATGGGTTCTTCTCCACTCGTCCCTGTCCTCCATCAGAACAATGCAGTAGCCTACTGCATAGAATCAGTACCTAAATGGATTCGAATGTATGTGGCTCGCAGTGCACGCAGAAAGGTTTTGTCCGCTTTGATGCACGCACTAAAAGTACTACTCGCGTGACAAACAGCACAAATAGTACCGGAGGAAGGCTATCACCGTATCAATATCATTTACATCACTTTGCCGGACAGTGATGGTGAGGTTCATCTAGCGAACCTTTTCCCCGTACTTGAAAGGAACAGAGAATCTTTTTTTCCTGTGTGACTCCGGAAAGTGGTTAAGGGAAAGTGCCGGTTGGTCCAGACAATTGAGTTGGTTGGCTGGATGATAGTACTTACTTAACTTAACATCTATCTTAATCGTATTTATAGCGTTATCGGTGAGAAGCTTATATCGTGTATCAGAAAATCTTGTTAGAAGTGAATGGCCGGAGTTAGAATGAAATCAATTGGACAGGGCTGTTTTAATGTGGACTGCATTTAATGTTTGTGTGACGAATTGATAGAAAAATACATGATCTCTATTTTTTTGTATATGCCACTAGAAAAAAAAACATTACAAAAGGCGAGTCCTAGCAAGAGCCTGCTAAGGAGGCTAGGCGTATTACAACAGAAGTTTGTTTATATATCGTGACGGTACATGGGAACAATTAATTAGGTCGTAATGATAGATTTCATGAAGTACTTCATGGTCTTGTAAGACCGACGAATACCCACTACTCTTAGACTAATAGTGAGTGTCTTAAGTGATCTTAAGTTGCCTGTCTGTCCACAGTCACGACTTGGCTGCTGTGACTGGATGCATGATATGGGTGGGTTTTGTTTTGCCTCGGCCCCTGAAAGGGAGAGACCAAAGTAGACTGAGGGGAGGGGTCTGTAAAATGATACGCATAGTTTTTCTTTACTAATCATTTAAATAATCTTTAGCGTGTAAATTTTGCTCACAAAGGTACAGTTTTCTGCTAGAGAGGACAGACGAATGTGTTTTTAAAATCTGGCCAAAAAGTGTAACCTTTGGTTTGCTAACTTTGCCCTATACTTGAACCTGAAAGGTCGGACCATGGGCTGTGTGCAGGAGGTGCAAGTGCTTTGTTAAGCGACCTTATCTTTGTTTAGGAGCTAGAAGCAACCAGGTCTGGGGTACACTGTGACTCGTCTGGGCGCGGGGCAAAGGTTGACATGCCATGCAGGTATTTTGGGCAGACAGTGCTGAGTGCCTTCGGCCATAGGTCAGGGTACTGGGCCACCGAAATTATGAGACACTGTCTGACCTCAATACATTTCAAGTAACCGGTAGTACCAGCTATCAATGAGATTATTTATTTGCAGGCAACACACTTATGAAAATCAGCAGGTAAGTTGGAACCTAAAACACTGGAAACGGGGGCTTAACAACACTGGCCGGCTGTGTAACGCAATGCCCTTGTCAGTTTGCGGTGAGGTGGTGAACTTTGTGAACACACTAATCGGGCGACCGTACACTGAAAGGAAATGGCTGTTTACCCTGAAAAGCATTGGCGGCATTCAACGGTGAAGCGTTTTCGCTGTTTCTTGCCACTTGTTTTTGTGTGCAACGCGTTCAGTGGCTTTCTGGTGCCGCTATTAAAAAAAGGGGTAATATTTTAAACTAAGGGGCATCATTACAAATCACTGCGTGATGCATGGCTTGCGTTAAGTAATACTTAATGTTATTTGGGTCATTTTGTCTTAGTTTATGTGACACTTTCCAGTCACGCCAGGCAGCCTGGCAAAGAGACTTATGAGACTTAAGAGGCAAATTTAGAGTCACCAAGGGTCCCAATTTGACTTCAATTGACTCTTTAGTTATAGGATTTTGGTCTTCAAAGAGAATGGCGTCCTATGAGAAAGTAGGGACCGTTTCCAGCATCTTCATCTACCCAGTGAAGTCCTGCAGGGGACTGTTGGTGGAGGAGGCTTTGGTCACTCCAATAGGACTGAAGCACCAAGCACTGTTGGACAGGTCAGTTTACATGATATTATAGAAATTATTATATTTCCCTTGCTACGCTAATGTAGCAGGGACAGGTTGTTCAATGCTTTTTCTTTGCTCACTATTTCCCACTCTTTTCTTCCCCTGTCAGCATTACTCAAGAAACTATTGAGTCACATTCTAACTGACTTATAATATTTGGTATGTGTGTAGGTTAAGACTTTAAGGTCTGTGTGACTTTCTTTATTAATAGTCAAGGTACTGTACAGAATGTCGTATTTCCCCATATTGTGTTTACACTCATTTGGTGGTTGAATATATCAGACTTTGGGTAGAGAGTTGATTATCATCATACATTTTTAATGAGATGCAATGTTGCAGAAATCGAGTCCACTTGTACGGTATGATAATGATTTTGTACTGTAATTGTGGATCCCAGTTAGTCAAAGTCAAGTTAAAGTGTGACGACTGAGTCTTGTATGATACCCCTTGTCAGGCACTGGCTGGTGGTGAATGATAAGGACCACTTCATCACAGCTCGGCAGGAGCCGTCCCTTGTCCTGGTGAAGTCCAGCCTTGCTGAAGACGGGAGCCTGTGCCTGGATGCACCTGAAATGGACACCCTGAAGCTGCCAAGCAGTCTGCAGGAGGGCAGGCTTGTCCACACAAAGTAACTTCAATGGTCATATTCACTTCTGGGGTGCCTTTTTTAGCACTATAACATTATCATTTTTGGTGTGTTTGTTTGTTTGTTTGCTTGTGTGTCCAGGTATTTGAATACTGTAAAGTGAGAGGAAGTGAGGGGGAAACTGTGTAACTGCAGACTGACAGGAAGGTCAAATTGGGGGGTCAAAATGGTCTTCTCGCACACAGTCTTGGAGGAAGTAAAGTTGAATTGGAGGATAGAATTGTCTCACCACAGGCTGTTAGGAAGTGACAGTGTGATATGTACAGAGTCAGCGAGAAATTCACAGTAATGAATATGACAATTCATAACAACCCTAGATCCTTCTTGTAAGTCGGTGAAATAAATGATTTCTTGGCATTCAACGAAATGCAGTGTTATTTTATTCATAAATCTGGGACTGGGATTCACCAGGCCATTGCACCTTTACAAATAATTATATTAGCTAAACCATGTCTGTGTCTCCCAGAGTGTTTGCAGTGGCAGGAGAAGGAGTCGACTGTGGAGACCAGGCTGCAGAGTGGTTCTCCTCCTACCTGAACAAGCCGGGTACCAGACTGCTGTATTCAGCAGCACAATGCAAGAAGAGGGACCTGAAAGAGTGGAAAATGTTTGCTGAGTTTGCAGAGACTGGAGATAAGGTACTTAACATTTTCAAAACAAAATCATCATCTATGTGTAAAGCGGCAAAAATTAATTCCCACTTGACATAATTT